CTCTGGGAGTGGGGGGTTGGGGCGAGTTAACCCTAACCGCTGGGAGCCTCGGGCGCTCAGGCTGAGGGCGCGGGGGGCGGGGGGGGCCGGGGCTCGCAGAGGGGTCCGGGGCTGCCCACCCTGCCACCCTTCTCACACCCCTTGTCCCCCCACCGTGGCTCGCAAGGGGCCTAGGCTCACCCCCATACCCGCCCAGTGTTTCAAGGCCAGGCCTGTACTTGGGGGTGTGAATTACCAGACGCCCCCCTCCATGAAACTCCCATGGGGTTGGGGCCGTCGAGTCCCCCGATTGGGTGGTCTTTCTTTGCGTGGCTTCTAGGCAGTAGGTGTTGGAGAGGATGGGGGATATTTCCCCATCTTCTCTTCAGTGGGAGTGTGGGGTGGGGGCAGGGGCGATGGGGTCCAGCCAGGGGCACAGCTGGATAGGCCTGTCTGCGGGGACAGGGCCCTGCACCTCTCCTTCTTCCCACCCTCCTTACATTTCTTGTCCTGCGCCCCAAGAATAGGGCTTGGTAGGGCCAAGGCACCGCAGACAGACGTGGGGAGTTGAGCTCTGCCTGGACGTTTGCTCTCCTGTCTTGCCTCTTCCCGGCCTTCTGCAGAAGAGAAATAAGGTCAAACAAACTTTCTCCCTACTCACGACGCCCTCCTCCCTCTTTCCTGGTAAAATAATAATTCAGATAAGTGTCGCGTTTGTGTGTGAGACTTGCTTTTGCTTCTCTGCTCATTAGCTGAGCTCCTGATGGATGGTGTTGGGAATGGCCTGGCTAAATAAATGAGGCCACTTTGCAGAAGAGACACAGGAAAGAGGCACTAAGATAGACAATAACAATGCAGCCCAGCCTCTCCAATAAACACACAGTGGGAAATTTCCAACGAGCCTATTAGATGAGAGGAAAAGCCACACTTGAAAATTTTTATCCTTTTTTTTTGAAAGCCTGCAGCAATTTTTTTATAACAAGACCCTAAGTGGATCTGGATTAATATGGTAAAAGATGTAAAAAAGACTCTGATACCACCTCGGAGAACTCTGTCAGAAAGTGACTCCCCTCTTCCCCTGTCTTCCTAGATAGAGCTGTGGAAAAAAGTTTGTCAGTGTGCTTTCTCTTACTTGCTCAGCTCACCTGATTTTTTTTTTTTTTTTTTTTAACTTGGTGATTGAAATGTACTTTGGGCTGCTGAGCCTTTCAAGATGCTCTGAATTTGTTTTAGGTCAATAGTTTTATGTGAGAAACATACTCTAGGGCAAATTGGTTTGGAGAGAAAAGATGTGGAAGCAGTTATAGTGTGAAAGACACATGTTTAGTCAGCCCTGACTACTCAGTGATGACAAGAGGTGGTTTTTTTTTGTTTGTTATTAAAGAAATGACGTATGGGACAGGGGTCCAAGAAACTTGATAAAACATTAATTGAAATGAAAAAGCAGGAAAATAAGGGTCTGTGAATAGTAGGCACACGAGAATATATTAAAGTTGCATTACTAAAGTTTGATTTTACCAGGGAATGAGTTACATGCTTCATTTTGAATATGAATTACCTAATGCAAAAAGTCATAGATATACAAATGTGAACTTTCTGTTGAAAAGATTAAGCTCTTTATTTCCTTTAATTACAGATTATGTCTACTTTGAGAATTCCTCTAGCAACCCATACCTAATCAGGAGGATAGAAGAACTCAACAAGGTATATATACACTTGAGTGTTCTTGATTCTAATATTAAAAAATAATTGTTTTCCATTGACGGTAATTGAGTAAAGGGCACAAGAGATAATTTTAGTTTCAGTCCCAGACTCTCTGAGATTTCAGATTAGAGAGTTGTTCAGGATTCTGAAAAGTCTTTCGCTTTTTATAATTACCACTGATACTAAATGTTACTGAATATTTAACATATGCAGATTTTCTACACATTGCTTAGAACTTCTCAGAGCAGGTCACTCCTGTAACTCAGTCCCTTTTTATAGTTACAGTCGTAATTCATATTTCTTCCTTTTTCCTCTTCCAGCTTTAGAAAGAGGAAGCTAGGAAATAGAATATTGAAGAGAATTTGTAAAATTCTGGACTAGGCTAACTAATAAGAATACAGTTTTGGTTTAATATAAAGTGGCTTTGTATTTTAGGCTCAAGTAAGTAAAATTTTTACATTAAGGTTTGTCCCCGATCGCTGGGTGTCCGGGACATCAGAAACATTATGACTTTATAGTAGATGAGCTTTTACAGTGGAGGCACATGAAAATAGTCATAAAACTACATTGAAGTATAGATTTCTAATGATGCTCGGGTTTCCTCCAAACCACTTTGAGTGTTATTTGGGTAGCTTATGAGAATTCATAGTGTTAAATGTTTGGGGCTGTCTAGCTGATTGATAACCTTCCCTCCAAAATACCATTTGGAGACTGGTCTAATTTTGAGTTTCAGGAAGCCAGATTTGGCAAAGGGCATTACTGGCTTAAAGCTTTGAAATCTTGGTTTGCTTCTGGGATTACCGCAGTGGCCTTTTTAAAATTTCTGTAATATTTGAGACTATCACCAAATGAAGACAATGGCCTCAGGACTGGATCATTCTGTGGGCCAGAACTGTCTCTCTTTGATCTCCATTCTTGCTGCTCTCTGCCTCATTCATTTGTCTCTAAGTACGGCAAATGGCGCTGTTTCTCCCATATACCCCCACCCACCTTTAGTACGCTTTGATTGTTACCATCTCATGTACCTTGCTCTTTTTTCGATATCTTTTATCACCTTCAAATATTCTTAATTATTGTATTCATTTGCATTGCCTATTTTTCCCAAACCAGAATGTTAGCTCTACACATGTAATGATCTTTTCTGTTCACTAATGCATCCCAAGTGGCTGGCACATAGTTATAGCATTCAGTAACTATTCATTGAATTAATGGATTTCTCAAAAATCTGGTATTAATCCTTGTACATAGTTTTACTGTTTACAGAGTGTTTTGAATTATTCATTTCACAGACATTTCTGAGAATCTGCTACTTGTCAGGCACTTTTAGGAATTAAGGGGTGAACAAAAATAAAAATAGGTCCGATGGTAGAGACAGCCTTCAGCCAAATAATCCCATAAATAGAAGGAAAATTGCAGCTATGCTAGATTTACAAATGTCAGAGCGTGATGCTCTGAAAGTGTATAATCTGAGGATTCACATTTGTTACCTCTTTTGAGCCTCACAGTAACCTAGAACCTTTAAGGTAGATGCATTATGAATTGTAGTTGTGATGCGCACAATGGTTAAATGACTGGGTTACACATCGAACTTGAACCTGGATCATTTCACACTCCTTTATCATCATGTTACCATTCACTTCAAAAGTATCCCCCTCCCACCAATCTTTACCTTTTACCTGCCCCTTTGCTTTCAGCAAAGAGGCATTAATATAATTATGGTCCTTTGGGAGCTGGGGAAGACTAAACTATGAGAAACGGGACTCTAATTTCAGATAATGGCAGTTTGGATGGAGTACTGGTGAGCAAGAACTGAGATTGGCTAGTTAAATATTAAGTATTTGCATAGGGCCTTTATTTCCAAAGGGATGTGAAGAAGGTATCTCATTTTAATTAATTCATTAAACAAATATTTATTGAGTACCTATATTAGGCTTAGAGATACAACTGAACAATATGGAAATGGCCTCTGCCCACACAGGGTCTACATGAAGGAGATGGCGACACATGAAAAAAATGAGTTAACAGGAATAAAGAAAATAGCAATAGGTGTTAACTTCCGAGAAGGAAGTAAGAGCCTTGACATAAGGAGTAACAGAGGTCACTTCCTTTGGATAGGGAAAAAAAGGATTTCAAGGACATTGAGGACTAAAGGATGAGAAAGAGGTAGCCATGGGAGAGAGGCCACAAGAGTGTTCCAGAAAGGCCTTAAGAAGGTCAGAGGTCAAGTTGTCAAAGTCAGTTAGAAAATCCAGATGATTTTAAGAACACTTGATAGATATTTGATAAGCCAGGAGAAGGGAGGGGTGTTAACCTATTTTATTAACTATCATAACTTTTTTTTAACCAAATTCTTAAGAAAAGCTGTCAATCACCATTATTATAGAAAATTCACTTTTATAAGATGGCTCCTGGTTTTTTAAAAAATCCTATTTAAAATGTTACTTGTTTAGTTTGAAAGCTGAACTACACTTTTTTTTTTTTAATTATACTAATAGATTTTAGTCTCAAATTTTTCCAGAAAAGTTTTGAGAACTTTTAGGTATAAAACTAAATATCAATAGATGAATACAGTTCAATATTGTTTATTTTATAATCCCTTTTCCTCTCTCCTAATTTGTTCTCGGATATAGTGAAGATGATCTTGGAGAAAGAATAAAAGGTTAAAATAGAAAAAAACTTTTTGGAAAATTTTATTTAGTCACTATCTAGATTGAATATTGCTCTTGCTTCTAAAGATTAAGCCTGCATACATGTTGAAAGAAATCTTTGAGCACATAATCAGGAAGTTTTAGGTATTATGCTTGTGGATAAATTAGCATGTTATTTGCTATTGTTTTTTATTTGTTTGTGTAATTTATATGTGTCTTCATATTCTGTATATTTTATTAGTCTTCTAACTTGCTCTGAGATTTTTAATGGATTTTAATTTTTTTGGTGGGGGAGGAGAGTCATTAACTTCTCTGAGCATCTGATGAAGCACCCTCCTTTCTACTTGTTCTTCACTTTGGGTAAACTATAGACTTTCTGAAATGGAAAGTGTTTTTTAAAAAAAAATTAAAAAAATAATGTACTCGTACTTTCTAAGTCTGAGATAGAAACAGACATGAGTATGAGGTTGACTGAAGTGATTTTAGAGCTTAGGGAAAGCCTCTTACTGCTAGAGGATATTTTAGTAAACGTGTTTGACAGAATAGAGATTTAAGAGGCTGCAACCTAAATGGAGAAAAGAACCCAGGAAAGAAATTCATGTTTATGGTGGGTTCTTCTTTATACATGTCCTTGCTTTTCCCATCTGTGGGTTATGCTCAGTGCCTTCCTTTTACTCAGTCCCCCAGGCTTCACCTGTTGGACTCTTCCTTTCCTAACCGACTGAGGCCCCTCTACCCCATTTCCTCCTTGAAGCGTTTTTCTGCCCTTCCTCCAACAGGTGGTACTTCCTGCCTCTATGAATGAGAAGTGGAGTCTGGAGGAGAGAGGAGGAAGTAAAGGAAAATAGTGCTGGGAGTATTGTTGAGGATGTTTTGCCTTTATGCGTTAGTAGTGGGGAACCAGTGAAGGTTTCTAGTCATGTGAGGGACAAGATTACACCTGGGTTTTGGAAGGTTGGAGAGGAGATAATGTGACCAGGCATCCTTGCTGGAGTGCAGGCTCAGTGAGGACGGGCACCATGTATCTACAGTGCTTAGCTCAGTGCTTGGATACATAGGAAAGGCCCAGGAGAAATTTAGTGAATAACCAAAGAATATGCACTTCTATCTACATATATATATGAATTACCAGACTTTATACATACTAAATATTTAGCTTGGGTCTTTTCAACTGCTTGTAGTGAAGGATTTTAAAGAATTTTCACTATCTTAGACTGCTTTTGTAAAATTTTAAAAAAGGTAGAAAAATGAAATTTGAAATAGGCTTATAAGAATACAAGCCCCTCTTTTTCATTGTTAGATTTAATAGCTGTAAAATTAACTTTCAATTGCTATGATATGCTTACTCTTAACCTTAAACTCTTAAACTCACCAACAGTCTGTACTGGGCCTTGGACCGCAATTTGAGTAGCCCAGCTTTAGAGGGATGCTTGGGTGAGTGGGGGTGGGAGTGGGGGTGGGGAGTGGAGGGTGTAGGGTGTGTGTAGTTCAGAAGAGAGTATTTTTTTTGAACTGTGCCCCTCTACCCCAAGTAGATTTAAATAAGAATTTAATTAGTTTTGTAGAGTATCCCTATGGAAGGAACTCACTGGTGAGGCAGAAAAAAGTATGTGTTGAAACTCTTGCTTTGGGTTTTTAACATACTTTTGTGTCAAGAAGACAAAAATAAAGTCATTGATAGATCTTATTTACATGGAAATAGTGGCCCATTCATTTAGCAGATTGTTGGATGATTACTTCTGTAGGATATATTTGATCACCTATTGTGAAATATAGAAGCTCTTTGCTTAGGATTTAATATGATTTCAGTTTTAAGGGGCAATATTTCTACAAGACTATTTTTCACTCTAAAACTGCTGCTGAACTTAAAATAGACAAATTTACTGCAGCACATATATATTCTTATTTCTTTATATTTAAATATATCTGTAAGCCCAGAGAAATTCTGAAAGTTTGTTTTCAAATGTGTTTGAAATTGGAAATCGCAATAGCATTTTATTGTACTATATGTGTTTTTACAAGGAACTTTGTAATGAATGATTGACCTTCTTGAAAGCTCTCAGAATTCATAAATAGGAGAGTTGGAGCCTGGGCCCCAGCTGCAGTAAATTACAACCTAACAATATTGATTGTATTCGAGACTGTAGTCAGAAAGAAATAAGAGCTTCAGTGTTCATAACTCAAGGTTTTTAATACTTTCATATATGAAGGTAAAGTTAAGTACTACTAAGATTATTGACTTATGAATTCACAGAGTCTCTTGGGCTGGAGAATGCTCTTCCAAGTCATCTGGTCCTTTCTGGCTACCCCACACCTACAGAACTTCATCAGTCTAACGTAGGGGTGTTCAGGAGAGGGCTGGGTGATTTTATTCTTAGCCTGTGCTTCTGGAAGTGGGTTTGGAGAAGATACGTTTAACAGTTTTAAGTAAGTTATGTTGTGGCTGTTGAAGTTTTTGGAATTAGTTTCTTAAAGCTAATCAGATTTAACCATGTCTGGCTTTAGTTATTAAAATGGTTTGATCACTTTAGTTTAATTGATGCCAGTAAGTTATTTTATGTTTGACATTTTGGTTTCATTTGGAACCTGGACAAATATTGCTCATCCTTATTTGAAGTTTTCAGCTCTCTGATTATCCTGCAGTTGTGGTTGGCACAGTGTAATGAGAGTGATCTTATGATTGTGCTGTTTCTAGTTTTGTTTTATAAACTTTGAATTTAATATTCAGTACAGCGATGACTTTTATCTTTCTTATTTTTTAGACCGCAACTGGCAACGTGGAAGCAAAAGTAGTGTGCTTTTATAGACGACGAGATATTTCCAACACGCTTATAATGCTTGCAGACAAGCATGCTAGTAAGTTAATTGTTTTTTTCCCTTGGATTAACACAAAAATGTTTTAAGTCTTTCGTTTTTCATGTGAAGAAAAATACTTTTTTTGTTACCTATAGTTTTTTGCTTTCTCGTTTGTCTTCCTATTAGTTTAGATGACAGTAATTTTTTGGATGGTGCTTGGTGTTTTAGGATGTATTTTTTTTTTAGGTTACATTATGTGCTTATCAATTAGTCAAAATGTTGAAAAAGAAGTTGTTGCAAGTAGGCTTTAGCAGACAATTAGGGCAGTGTTTTGCCATCTCCTATTTTCGATGGTGGTTTGAGGGTACGTGTATGAGGAAATTTATATTTCACTATTATTTTTTGGAGGACTTTTTTTCCCCCTCTAAACAACTGGGTAATATTTACATTTTAAAAAACTTTGAGTATTATAGGTATAAAGTATTAGTATGTATGAAAAAAGTGCTATAAGAAGTGCAAAGTGATATTTTGATGTGAATTCTTATAGATAGCAACTCTGAGTGCTTCTTTATAGTATAATCTTTATTTTTTTGGTCCAATCAACAGCTTTGACACATTTTAGCATCTATGATTTTTTTAAAGCACCAAACACAATCATAAAAAAGTGATTTAAATTTTAAGAAAGAAGGTGTATGTGTATTATAAGTACTTTGTCTTGAAAGCCATTTTCATTCTACAAAATACATGAGACCAGCATCATATGGATGTGTATTTTTCACTTTGATACTGCGATCTGTAATACTTTGTTCATCAGGATTCTGAGGCTTTAGAAGTGATCTGGTAAAGGGTAAGGGAGCCTGTTGTGTTCACAGGTTTGTTCTGTGTCTGCTTGAGAATTATTTTCCCACCGTGTCGCCAGTTTAAGCAGGCAGATCCCTTGTCTCATAGATTAAATTCCTACTATGTATTCTGCTGTATAGTTCATGGTGTTTTTCAATTTTTTTCTATTTTTATATAGGAAGTGTTCATTATGATATGGGTTGTTGTATAACACTTACAAATTAAATATTGACAGATTCAGGGCATTCATGTTTGTCCCTCATGTGGACCAAAAGAATTGCTTTAAAAAATGACAATCTAAAATTTGGCCAAAATCTATAAATTCAGTGTATTAGTAAAGTGTCTATGCAAAATATTTGGATTTTATTCACTGTTTACAACATAAATGTGAGAAAGATAAAATGTCTCATTTATATTCCTATACTTTCAGACTTAATTTAGTTTCTAATGTAGCTTCTAAACTTGTTGCTGCAAAGGTAGTGAAGTATAAAGATTGTTAGTGGATCTGCTAACTATTCATGGAAGGTCTTAGCATGCCTGCATCTTGGGGCTATTTTAGGCTTCAGATATAGAAATACAGATTTTTCAGAATTTACAAGAGTCTTGATATTGACTCATAGAAACCAAATTTTGAGAGACTTAATCAAATTATATACTGGTAGTCATGCAGCTTAGAGAGACACCTGGGTTCAGATTCTCGTTTGCTACTCGGTATGAGAAAATTTCTTCTCACTCATCTCCATTTTTCTCATCTGTAAAGAGTGATTGAATAAAATCACCTTATTTTATGCTGTATGTATTTTGCTGCAATTAAAAAATTGATATGAGAGTTAAATGACCCAAGGAAAAGGCTCTTAATGGGCGTTCAGTAAATGTCAGTTGGTTTTTCTGCCTCCTCAGTAATTGTAGGGCATCTCTTTGGGTGGATTACTTCAATCTATGTTTACTTTTTTCATTCATAATTTATTGATTTTACTCTCATAGGTGACTATATGTCTAGGTACGGTAGAGTTAGAGGTATCTTACTATTTCTGTTGGTAGTGACTGAAACAGAGTGGGGGAGAACAAATAAAATTGTCTGAAAAATTCATGCTTTATGAAGAGATTTTAAGGGAGGATTAATGGAGAGAGTGTTATGTATTAGAAAGATTTAAAATCTGGAGTCCTGGGTGTGGATGACACTTAAATTTCTTGAGCCTTAGTTTACCCATTAAGAAGCACCTGGAGCAAGCAAAGTCACCAGGGATCTCGATGAACAGAAGCACTACAAATAGAGAGAGAAATAAGAAATCACCCTACAGCGTTAGAAGGTAGGAGGCGGTGAAGATGCAAGGCTGCCCGGTTCCAAGTAGCTGAGGGGCACAGAGGGTACAGCAATGGCAGCAGCTGCCAGCAATTGCAGATGCCTTTTTTTTTTTTTTTGGTGAGAATGAAGTGAGCGATTTGTGTGTGTGTGTGTGTGTGTGTGTATTTTTTTATTTTATTCAGATGCCTCTTAAAGGGGACGTGTCTGAGCGGACTTTCCTGGTGATGGACCTGCTTGTTCCGAGCACCAGTGCCGGGTTGGCTGCATGGGGGGCACCAGGGATTTACAAGGGAACAGTGATTTGTCAGAGTGAGGGCTAGAGGTGAGGCTCTCTTCTTGGCAGAAGTGCTGGAGGTGTCCATTGTTCCTCTGTTGAAAACCTCCCCTCTCCCAGTGTGCAGCCTCAGAGTTTCCATATCTGAGATGTCAAAGAACTGGATAAGAGGTCACTCCGCCCAGAGGATTCTTTGAAACTCCACCTCCTCTAACGCCGCCCCACCCAAGCTGCATCCAGTTGTTATCTCAGGTCCGGTGCTCCTTGTTGAGCAACTCCAAAACTCAAACTGGTGGCAGCTGGCCTCGGTTTCCAGCGTGGCCTCTTGAGGCAACTATAAGCACAACATATGTAGATTGCTTGCTAAATCTTAACAGTTCAGTAAAGCCGGAAAAAACAAACACCCGATGTTTCCATTACTCTGCTTTAACAGTTGCCAGTATATGACCAATTCATTCATCTAGACCCCTACTTGATTGCCGTATTACTTTAAAGCTCATCAGAGAAATCTTACTATTTCATCTGTAAATATCTCAGTATGTGTTTCTAAAACACATGGCCTCATTCAAACTTACAGAGCGCTACGAATATACAAGGAACTTCTACATGCCCTTTACCCAGATTTAGCAATTTACATTTGCCCTATTGACATTATCTTTATATATATTTATATGCGTAAATGTGTATATATATATATTTTTTTTCCTGAATAAGTTGAGAATCAGTTGGAGACTTTGGTAGGTTTTTCCTAAATGCAGGAAATGCTTTTACATAACCATGATATAGTAAACAAGTCAGGAAACCTAATATATAAAACCATTATCTTACTCACAGCCCTTATTCAAATTTCATGTCCCAATAGTGTTCTTTACAGCTATATATTTTTTCCTTTGTCTGGAATAACATCCAGGCTTACACATTGTATTTTACTGTCATGCCTTCTATATGAAACCAGTTCTTCAATCTTAGTGTTTTCAACAAAAACAGGCCACTTATTTTGTAGAATATAGCTTATAGCTTAAATTGTGTCTAATGTTTCCTCATGGTTAGATTTCTATAGGGATGCCACAAAAATGATGATGTGTTCTTCTCAGTGAATTGCGTTAGGAGGCAGTTGGCTTTGTTTTAATATTGGTGATGTTAGGTTTGATGACTTGGTTAAGGTAGTGTCTCTTTGTATTTCATAGTTATTTTGGGGGAGATACTCAGCAACTATGTAAATATCTTGTTCTTGGTCAAACTTTAACCTACTCTTTTTAGCATCCGTTAATCATTTAGGATTCTGTAAACATTGGTATCATTAATATCTAGTTGGTTTTCACATTTCTCTTTTTATGATTATTTTATAGTTTAAGATGGGATCCAAATAAGGTTACCAAATAAGGTTAATAGAGGATAAGTTGATAAGACTCTTAAGTCTCCCTTTTTCCCCCTTGTCAATTCATTTTTTGAAATCGAGATATAATTCACATAGCATAAAATCCATTCTTTAAATTGAACAGTTTAGTGGTTTTTAGAATACAAAGCTGTATAACCATCACTGCTATCTAATTTCAGAATATTTTCATCACCTCAAAAAGAAAGCAGTTACTCCCCATTCTCCTTTTCTTTCAGGCTCTGGCAACCACTGATCTACTGTCTGTCTGTATGTTCTGGTTATTTCATATAAATGTTACATACATTATGTGTTTTTCTGTGTCTGGCTTTTTTTGTTTTCAAGTCTCTTCCTGGTTATAGCATGAATTCTTTTTTTTTTTTTTTTTTTTAGAGTCAAAAGGAAAGTTTATTAGAAAAAGGCAGAGAGTGAGAGGGACAGTACAAGAGAAGGAAAGAGAGACAGAGTAAAGGCACTGAGAGGGACCCCTTCATTTTTTCTTTTTAATAGCTAAATGCTATCCCATTGGATAAATAATACCACATTTTATTTATCTATTCATCAATCGACGGACATTTGGAGTGTATCCACTTTCTGGTTATTATGAATAATGCTGTTATGAATACTCATGTACAAGTTTTTGTGTGGACATTATTGTCTTTTAATCTATAGATATACATTTATTTATATTCATTCTCGGTCTCTCTCTCTTTCCTCCCCACCTCCCCTATATTTTGTTGAAGATAGGAGGTTGTTCATTCTGTAGAGTTTCTTTTGGTCTGGAATTCTTTTGGTTTATTGCATCTCTATTGTGTCCTTTACCATGTTTCTCTGTAGATGGGTAGTTAGATCCAGATTCTAGAGGATCTAAATCCAGGGGATTTTTTGATGGGAGTAAATAGGGGGTGCAGGATTACTTTGTAGGTTGTATTGTGTACTTCTTCATGTATTACTTCATGAGGTCCATAATGAATTGTTGTCTATTTTTTTTAACATTTTACTTTGAAATAATTTTAGATTCATAGAAAATTATTAAAAACATGATCAAGAATTTCCATATATTATTCTTCATCTAGATTTCTCAAATGTTAGCATTTTACTATATTTGGTCTACTATTCCATGTACATATTGTTAGTATTTTTGAACCATTTGAAAGTACAATGAAGGCAGAGTTCCCCTAACCCCTAAAGATACTTCAGTGAATACCTTCTAAGAACAAGGACATTCTCTTATTTAACCTCCGCATCACAGTACTCTAGTCTAT